TACTATGTTGAATAAAAGCAGCAAGAGGAGGGGGTCCTTGTCTTGTTCTTGATCTTAGAGGAAAAGCTTTCAGTTTTTCTTCATTGAATGTGATATTAGCTGTGGGTTTGTCATATATGGCCTTTATTACATTGAGGTACATTCTCGCTAGACTCATTTTGTTGAAGTTTTATCATGGATGAATGTTGAATTTTGTCAAATGCTTTTTCTGCACCTGTTGAGAGGATCATATGATTTTTATCATTCATTTGTTAATGTGGTGTGTCATATTGGTTAAGTTGCAGGTGTTGAACAATCCTTGCATCCCTGGGGTAAATCCCGCTTGATCGTGGTGTATGTGTTTTTTTTAATGTATTGTTTAATTTGGTTTGCTAATATTTTGTTAAGGATTTTTGCTTCTATGTTGATCAGGGATACTGGCCTGTAGTTTTATTTTTTTTATAGCGTCCTTGTCTGGTTTTGGTATCAGGGTAATGCTGGCCTTATAAAATGAGTTTGAAAGTGTTCCCTCCTCTCTTATTTTTTGGAAGGGTTTGGGAAGGATTGGTACTAATTCTTTAAATGTTTTTAGAATTCAGCAGTGAAACCACCTGGTTCTGGACTTTTGTTGGTTGGGAGGTTTTTGATTACTGATTCGATGTCCTTACTAGTAACTGGTCTCTTCAGGTTTTCTATTTCTTCATGAGTCAGTCTTGGTAGGTTGTATGTTCCAGGAATTTATCCATTTCTTCTAGATTGTCCAATTTTTTGGAGAATAGTTGTTTATAGTAGTCTCTTATGATCCTTTGTATTTCTGTGGAATCAGTTGTAATGTTTCCTCTCTCATTTTTTATTTTATTTATTTGAATCCTCTTTTTTTCTTGGTGAGTCTAGCTAAGTTTTGTCAATTTTGTTTATCTTTTTAAAAAGTCCAGCTCTTAGTTTCATTGATCTTTCTACTGTCTTTTAATCTCTAGTTCTTTTCACTCTCATCTTTATTTCCTTCCTTCTACTAACTTTGGACTTCATTTATTCTTCTTTTTCCAGTTCCTTGAGATCTAAAATTAGGTTGTATATTTGAGATCTTTCTTGTTTCTTAATTTAGGTGTTCATCAGTGTGAGCTTCCCTCTTAGAACTGCTTTTGGTACATCCCATATGTTTTGATATGTTGTATTTCCATTTTCATTTGTCTCAAGGTATTTTTTGATTTCTCTTTTGATTTCTTCTTTGACACATTGGTTGTTCAGTGGCATGTTATTTAATCTCCATATATTTGTGAATTTTCCCATTTTTTTCTTGTACTTGATTTCTAGTTTCATACCATTGTGGTTGGAAAAGATACTTGATATGACTTCAATCCATTTAAATTTATTAAGACTTGTTTTGTGGCCTAACATATGATCTGTCCTGGAGAATGTTCCACGTGCACTTGAGAAGAATGTGTATTCTGTTGCTTTTGTTTGGAATGTTCTGTATATGTCTGTTAAGTTCATCTGGTCTACTGTGTTGTTTAAGGCCAATGTTTTTTAATTGATTTTCTATCTGTATGATCTATTCATTGACAAAAGTGGGGTATTAAAGTTCCCTACTATTACTGTATTGCTGTTTATTTCTCGCTTTAGGTCTGTTAATATTTGCTTTGTATATTTAGATACTCCTATGTTGGTGCATAAATATTTATAATGTTATATATTCTTTTTGGATTAATCTTTTATCATTATATAATGACCTTCTTTATCTTAAAGTCTATTTTGTCTCATATAAGTATAGCTACCCTACCTTTATTTTGGTTTCCATTTACATGGAATATCTTTTTCCATCCCTTCACTTTCAGTCTGTGTGTGGTCTTACATCTGAAGTGAGTCTCTTGTAGGCAGCAGATAGATGGGTCTCGTTTTTTTTTTTTTTTTTGCCCCTTCAGCCATTCTATGTCTTTCGATTGGAGAATTCAGTTCATTCACATTTAATTATTAATAGGTATATACTTACTGCAAGTTTGTTAATTGTTTTCTGGCTGTTTTGTAATTCCTTTCTTTCTTTCTTCTTCTCTTGGTTTCTTCGTTTGTGATTTGATGATTTTCTGTAGTGGCATGCTTAGATTCCTTTATCTTCTGTGTATCCACTATAGGTTTTTGCTTTGTGGTTACTATGGGGCTAACATAAAATAACCTGTATTTATAATAGTCTATTTTAAGTTGATAACAACTTAAGTTTGAATGCATTCTAAAGCTCTACATTTTTACTCTCTCCTGCTGCCCACATTTTATGTTTTTGATGTCACAATTTATATATTTTTATCTTGTGTATTCATTAACAAATTTTTGTAGTTATAGTTATTTTTATTATTTTTGTCTTTTAACCTTAATACTAGATTTATAAGTGATTTACCCACCACCATTACAACCTTAGATTATACTGAATTTAACTATATATTTATCTTTACCAGTGAGATTTATACTTTCATGTTTTCCTGTTGCTAATTTGTGCCTTTTGTGTCAGCTTAAAGATGTTCCTTTAACATTTCTTATAAGGCTAGTCTAGTAGTGCTGAACTCCTCTAGCTTTTGCTTCTCTGGAAAACTGTTTCTCTCTCCTTCGATTCTGAAGGACAACTTTGCTGGGTAGAGTATGCTTGGTTGACATTTTTCTTTTAGCAGTTTGCATATATTGTGCTACTTTCTTATGGCCTGGAACGTTTCTCCTGAAAAAAAATCCGATAGTCTCATGGGAGTTTTCTTCTATATAACAAGTTGTTTTTCTCTTGGTACTTTTAAGATTCTTTCCTTGTCTTTAACTTTTGACAGTTTAATTATAATGTGTCTTGGTGTGGGCCTCCTTGGGTTCATCTAATTTGGAACTCTCTGGGCTTCCTGGATCTGGATGTCTGTTTCCTTCCCCAGGTTAGGGAAGTTTTCAGCCATTATTTCTTCAAATAAATTTTCTGCCCCTTGCTCTCTTTTCTTCTTCTGAGACTCCCTATACTGTGAATGTTGGTCTGCTTGATGTTGTCCCATAAGTCCCTTAAGCTATCTTTACTCTGTTTCATTCTTTTTTCTTTTTGCTGCTCTGATGGGATGAATTTTACTACCCTGTCTTCAAGTTCATTGATCCCTTCTTCTGCTTGATCTAGTCTGTTCTTAAACCCCTCTATTGTATTTTTCAATTCAGTTATTGTATTCTTCCTCTCTATGATTTCTGTTTGGTACATTTTTGTATTTTCTATCTCTTTGTTGAAATTTTCAGTTTGTTCATTTGTTGTTCTCCTGAGGTTGGTGAGCATCTATATAACCATTATTTTGAAATCTGTATCAGGTAAGTCACTTACCTCCATCTTTTTCTGAAGTTTTATCTTGTTATTTCATCTGGAACATATTCCTTTGTTTCTTCATTTTCCTTGATGTTCTGTGTTGGTTTCTATGCATTTAAGAAAACTATCTAAACTCTCTAAAAATCTACCTCTCCCAATCTTGAATGAATAGTCTCATCCAGGAGATGATCCTTATTGTTCAATCCGACCCTAGCTGTTGGTTGTCTCTGAGAACTTTATGATTGTCCAAGCAGGCTTCTTTGTTCTTAACTGGCTCCCAGTAGTTGAGGGTGTCCAAGACCTGTTAGTGTCTCAAAGGGGGGGAATCTTGGTCAGTACCTAGATGCAGGCTGATTGGAAGCCAGACCCTCAGGCAGGAGCTTTTAAAATATGCAAATATACCTCTTTCAGGGGAAAACTGGGAAATGGGCATTTCTGTTCCCTTTCTGCTGAGCTTTGGATTGATAGCCAATTAAGAACTGTTTTTTTGTTTGCTACCATCCTATTGAACCTGTGAACACAAGCCCTGTTGGCCACCAGAGCCAGGCTATCAAGGGATGTGTCCTCTGGGCATCAGCCACAAAAGCCAGGGCACCAGACTCATTCAAAAATCTCCTTTCTTGGAGATACCAGCAACCTGGGGCACGCAGATGGAAAGCATGAAGGTGGCACCTTCAGACCTCCTCGATCTCTGGAGAGTATTGTAGTCCCTAGATAGGTGTTAAATTAGAAACCTGGCCCTTGAGCCACAGCTACTAAGATAAACAAATTGGCTTCTTTCATAGAAAGACTGGGTGTTTCAGTTTGCTGCTTCTGCACTGTACCTTGGCGGGGGGTGGGGATAGCTGACTAAGAACAGTTTCTGTTTGTTGCAGCACGTGGGACCCATGAACATAAGTCCTGCTGGCCACCAGAGCCAAGCCTTCAAAGGGTGTCCCCTGGGCAGAAGCCGCAAAAACCAGGGCACCAAACGTGTGCACAAGCTCGGCTGGTTGAGACACTTTTTTCTTTGGGGAAGTTCAACAGCTTCAAAGTGGAGATATTCTAGCTAAAAGGGTGTGGAAAACACGGGACATGCAGAGCCTTACCTACCTGCCTGCCTCTCCCCTCCTTTCTCCTTGCAATACCTAAGGCTCTGCAGAGCACTGTTGAAAAACACTGTCTCACTCGATTTCCTTTCTCCAGTCCAAGACTGAGTTGCAATAGAAGCAATGAGAATGCTCACAACATGGTCCCCACAGCTTGCAGAATTTTCTTCACTGTCTCTGCTGATGTCCACACCAGAATTCTAGAAAACTTAGCTTTCCTATAGTTCCATTACGCAAAGCCAAGGGTCAATTAGAAAGTTCAAGAGAAGCATTGGTTTGATTGGTGGGGAGGCGGGGGTCTGGTAGATGGGACAGGACTGAGAAACCACAGGAAGATGGTTGGGATGGGAGGGATGAAGACCGGATTGAAACTAGTGGCTTTAAATTCCATTTTAGTGAAGGCTGGGAGTTCTGTGTTGGATGAGAAGAAATGACTGTCATTGCACAGAGCTGTGTTTATTAATTTCTTGGAACTTGGGATGAGTAGAGGTAAACTGGTTTTCAAATCATCACTCTAATGTAGTGTTAAACAAGTCTCCTTACTCTTATTTCCTCACATGAGGCTACTCCCAATGCAGTTGCCGGATCCTTCAAATCACCTTCACATACATACCTGTGCATTTCAGGCAGAGGAAGACAAGAAAAATCTGAGCAGGATGCAGACTCTGATGGATAATCTTCAGCTCAAAGTGCAAAGTTACAAGCAGCAAATCGAGACAGTGGTAAGTGACTGACACAGTTGCAGCCTCATGAATTTCCTAGCCATGGTTTTTGATTAACGGAGATATGTGCCCTGAGCTAGGGGAGCAGCTTATCAGAGAGGACCAGCTCACCTTAAAGTCTGTTCATTCTCTGTTTTTTCTCAAGCTAGAATTATCACCCATGGTAAAAATTTGCGCTACTTTTCCCTCCAGGGAGCCAGAGCTCTCTTCCTCGACCTTATGGTTACACCCAACCATGTGCATTGCAAAAAATGAGCCAAGTAAGAGCATGGAATCATGTAGAGATGGCAAATTTTTGGTTGAGTAATCACCCTGGGGCCTTCCTCACCCTAAAACCTTGGGTGAGCATAAATGCAGTTCACAGTCCTGTTTCCTGATAAGCCTGGACATGGCTGTGGACATCACCACCACCACTTGAAATGTACTTGCCGACCCTGGATTAGTATCCATAGCTACGTGGAATGTAATTGATAAGTACCGTATATATTGATTTATGCCTAATAATCATCTCTCTTGAGGGGTTTTGAATTGATTATGTAAATGATTTGGGCTAAAACACTGCTATGTCTAATAATTACCTGTTACCCCATATAATTGTAAAGACAAACCCCCATCACCGAGAGGTAGAATAGGATGTTGCACTGATTACAAAACAAACAATTGTGATTATTCTATCACAAATCTGTGAAAGTTGAACTATATCCAGTTGGTGGAAAGTGCCGACCATGTTTTCTATTTCCAGGGAACAACAGTTATAAAAATGGATCCTGTGCCTGCTAGAAAGTCTGAATCCCTATATATCATACCAAAATATGATATTCCATTCAGTACTCAGAAGTTTAGATTCCTTCCACATTTTTCAACTTTCTCGTATCAGAGTCGAAAAAAATATGACTATGTAGGCACAGGGGTTTCTTTTTTTTTTCATTTTTTATTTTATAGGAAGCACAAGCCAATCAATATCTTTCTAAGTATAAGAAGCAACAACATGAGCTGAACGCAGCTAAGGAAAGGGCAGAGATAGCAGAATCTCAAGTCAATAAACTCAAGATTAAAGCAAAAGAGTTTGGAAAAAAGGTACGTCGGATTTTCAACTCTGTCCTAACTCTTAAAGCATGTGTGTTTCGGTCTCGATAGAACCTAAAACAGGTTCTATAAAATCTTTCCATATTTACTAACTCCTACTTGTCCAGGTAGGATGAAGTGCTAAGCATTTGAGGAGGATGCACACTGTATTTATATTTCTCAAATGCTCATTTCTGGGTTAACTTGCAGGCTGAGCTCCAGGGCCTAGATTCATTTGTGTAGGACAGTCAGGAGTCCAGGGAGCAAAGAGGATTTAAAAAGCACAGAAGCATCTGCTTGAAATTCTGAATGAACTCTTTCTATGGTGGACAAGTACCTGAGTCCGTACCACCTAGACAGGTGGAAAATTGAGGCAGTGGAGGACAACAAATGCGAGAGTCCTGCTTTCTACCCTGAAACACAGAGAAAGGAACTTTCTACATCCCTGTGGTCCATGAAACTGCTGTTCTGATCCAATAGTAGCGGCCTCTTCCCTAATTTTCCTGGCAAAGTAGCAGAGTGACAAAGAACACTGAACTCTAGGCTTGGCGGCGTCAGTGTCTTACTCTGCTCAGGCTGCTATAACAGAACAACAGAGACTGGGTGGCTTGTAAACAACAGATATTTATTTCTCACAGTTTTAGGCGCTGGGAAGTCCAGGATCATAGTGCTAGCAGATTCAATATCTGGTGAGGGCCATTTCCTCATAGATGGCCTTTTTCTCCTTGTAACCTCATGTAGTGGAAAGGGTAAGAAAAGCTCTCTGGGGTCTCTTTTGTAAGGGCACTAATCCCATTCATGAGGACTCTACCCTCATGACCTAATCATCTCCCAAAGGCCCCACCTCCTAATACCATCACCAGGGGGTTAGGATTTCAGCATATGAATTTGGGGGACACAGACCGTAGCAGTCAGGGTAACCTCAGCTTCCTTGCTGAGATTTTCCCAGGAACACATAGTTTTTAAATGAAATCTGGCTTTAGGAGAAGCAGATTACAGGAGATTGGATATCCTTCATGGAATGCCTAAAAAGCACTTAGCACAGTGCCTAGTACAGATAGGCACCATCATTTCATTTTTTAAAATTTGGTACGTGCCTGGTCCTCTTTCTTATTTATTGTAAATGAATTACTAATCACCCTGCAAGATAAGTAGATAGGGTTGCCAATAATAAATATTACCTTGAGGTCAAAAGAATCTCTTTTGAAGGAGAGATTAAAAGTTAGTTATGTTGAATATATTTGGATCTAAACGTGAGAAGCATGAGTCATGGGCAGACTCCGGAGACTTCTTATTGATGCCTGAATAGCTGTCTCAAGGATAAGGCCTATATGGAGAGGTCAGGTTAAGTGGATTGAACTCTGGCCTCAATTTGAGAAGTGTTATGGCATTGGATTTGGGGTCTTCTGTGCAGAGCCCGCCCACAACCCCCTAGAATGGATTTGTTTAGGAGAATGCCTCACATGTGCTGCAATTGCACTCAGCTGCAGGAGGTCGAAGGGCCTCCACAACAGATGTAATGCATTCGACTTTGACACAGTTGTTTCCAACAAAGAATAAAATGAGTGTAGCAGAAATTGCTTCTGAGAGGCCAGAGATGAATAGGAAAACTGTCCTTGGCAGTGCAATGACTAATTGTTTCCCAGTCACAGAAGGAAAGCCTGAAAATCTCTCAGCTGTCACGAGGAAAAGGTTTTCTGATAGAATTGGGTCGGGGCTGTGGAGCAAATTGGTGATGTGGCTAGTCTTTCCCCCATGGGGTCTTCTGTAGAGGGCGCTGCCTTCACCGGCAAGGCGAGGAGTGATCGAGCTCGCCTACATGAATTACCGGGGTCTGCTTTCCATAGTACAGATAATTTCCTCAATTCTCTGCCTCCCTTGGAAGCTAATGAAGAGTTGGCTAAGGCCTGCTTATCTCTAGAAAGGACTGGGCTTGGTTCTGGGCGTGTGTTCCACTGCTGAAAGTCACAGGACTCTCACAGAACACACTGATATTCTGTTTTTCAGGTTCGTGAAGAATAAGCAGTCTTGCTTATGAAAGACAGTGACTGGAGAAGCACAAGGAGGGCACCACTTTATAGCCAAAAACTTAAGTTGCATTTGAAACATTAAAAAAAAAAAACGTATTTACATGGTGTGAAAAGCAGTTTAAACAAGAGGATTAGAAAAATGTAATAATTAAAGGGAGTATTGTTGCTTCCAAGGTTAACGGGGAGTTTTTGATCCTCAAATACAGGTAAACATTTCACATGAAAGGTTATATAAATCCAAGAATCTTTTATGTTCTAAAGTTAAAAAAAATAAATGAATACTTGTTCTATTGTCCATGTTGCCTCTTAATGAGTGATAGTCGTAGAAGGCATCCTTAGACCAGTCGTGGTCCTTGGGGACAAGTGCGTGTTGGTAAATGGTTATTACTGAAGTTAGCAAATTTTGCTTAATTCGTGTCTTACATCTATGAGTCTGTATTTTTAGCCACTAATGGTGGGAGTTGATAAACCTTTCTCTTAGTGCTGTGATTTATCTATAGTCACAATGAGGCATTTTGAACTTGTAGGCAAACCCTCCTAATCGACATACATGTGAGCTGCATGCTGGTGCAGACTGTAAACACTGAAGTGGCCTCTCACACACGACGTTGAGTTCAGTGATAGGCGGTATGCTGGCTTTGTATTGTGCCCATTTAGCTAAACTGGAGGTACATTTCCCGGAATCCTTTCTCTGTGTGATTCTAGATTGGAGTTGGTCACAAGAGAAATTTGCACCAGATTTGATGGGCAGAAATGAAGGAGCAGCTGTTTATTTTATGCTCGTCAGGGCAGGGTACGGCCCCAGGCGCTGTGCTGGCTGGCAAATATTACCCCAGGCCAGAAAGGTGAGCTAGCAGAAACCAGCAACTGCTCCCTGGGCCTGCAGCTCTTCCAGCTCCTGTCAGGTTCCTCCCTCAGCCTCACAGAGTCCTGGCCAGGTGTGCGTGCGGCTGGCTTCATGGCAATGGGCACCAGCTTCTCTTGCAGGTCACCCACGGCGTTAACTTGGGAGGCCCTTGGGGACAGGTGCGGCTTCCAGTTTGTTCTTGTGGATTCCAGTTCATCTTCACTCCACGTCCAGCTCTCCTTCCTGATGGCTGGCACTTCCGACCTACAGTGACTTCAGTCACTTCAGATGCAGAGGGGACAGCCTGGCATCCGCTTCCTCACCAGTGCTCACAGTTGTGTAAGGTTGAATCCCTATAATAAATCCTCATTCTCTGTCATTCTCAGCAGTCTGCCTCTCTGATCCGATCCCGACTCGTACAGGTGGCTCTAAGATCAATTCAGCAATGTTGAAGGACCCAGATGAGAAGGTTTTTCCTCGTCTGCCATCCTCATTGTGTTGGCTTTTGTCTTTAAATTTGTCCCCCTCATCATTGTAAGAGGACTACAGCAGTTCTGAGTGTTTTCCTCCTCACAAAATAGCCTATGTGCCTTTTAAAAGTTTTTCTTTACAACAGCATCCTTAATACTTTACAGTTTATGATGAACAACTATCACAACATTGCAGCAAATAGAGTCAACAAAACTACGTACAAGGTATGAGATTGTGAAGTTCAGGCCAGCTGATAGAGAAAACTGGACGAGTCAGCATTAACATGCAATTCAGGGTGGTTTTCTCCTGTAAACTATAGAGTCCAAAACTTAAGTCACAGAAATCCTGGTTAGACTTTTCCATTTGTATAAATTGATGATTAAAATTAAGGGAAACAGATCATCAAGTCAGCTGGCCTAGCCATTCTCCCCTTGCATAAAAATTTATATGGAAATCTAAATTTATTAAAAGGCTGATCATGGGGCCGGCCCGGTGGCACAAGTGGTTAAGTGCGCCCGCTCCACTGCGGTGGCCCAGGGTTTGCTGGTGTGGATCCCAGGCACACACCGACGCACTGCTTGTCAGGCCATACTGTGGCGGCATCCCATATGAGGTGGAGGAAGATGGGCATGGATGTTAGCCCAGGGTCAGTCTTCCTCAGCAAAAAGAGGAGGATTGGCAGATGTTAGCTCAGGGCTGATCTTCCTCACACACAAAAAAAGAAAAAACGAAATTAAAAAAAAAAAAAAAAAGGCTGATCAACAATATGACAACTGAGCCAGAAGAGTGAATCAAATTATCTTCATAGCTAGGGTCACTCAGCTATGCAAACCTGATGGTGGAAGGTATAACTCAACCCCAGAGATGTCAGTTCTTGAGTTGACAGAGCTCTTTGTCCTAGGCAGTTTAGAAATACTGACATTCTTACTCTTTGGGGTCCATAAGACTCACCACGCTAGATCTAATTGGTTAAGGTGATATAACCATTCACGTAACACTAGATTCCAATACCTTAGCAAATCAATTGCCTTGGTTTCCAGGCCCTGGGTTTTTACCTTTTTGCTATGAGGACTTCTGCTTCTACCTGCTCTCTCATCCATTATTAGTTGATCAGATTTTGAATCAGCACTTAGTGACACATTTCTTCCAAGTTCTAGGGGAAAACCTTACTGTACCTTCCGTGCTGATTGCAGCAGGAAGGTAAATGAATGAGACAGTTCTTTTCTAAGTTGAATTGGAATCCTTGGCCTCCAGGCACTTATAATCTTGATGCAGGTAGGCTGTCAGTGAATGACGCTTTGGTCTTAAAGAGTGAATGTGATACTGGAAAAGAGAATGGTTACAAGTCTTTGTGATGGTAGAATTGTCAGGTCATGACCGCCATTGCTGGAATCACAGTGAAGAAAGGGGCGATGAAGTCACTGGATCTTAGAGACGCTTGTGATGTGTTGTGACAGTTCTGTCTTCATTTCCTGTACTGGCTGGCTATTCTGAAGGAGCCTAGAACCAAGAAAAATGGACTCTAAGTGGCTGTTGTTCGTGTCAGAATGACCTTTATTTTCATCCTCCCCAAAGCCCCAGTACATGGTTGTATATCTTAGTTGTAAGTTGTTCTAGTTCTTCTATGTGAGCTGCCGCCACAGCATGGCAACCGACAGATGGGTGGTGTGGTTCCGTTACCGGGAAGTGAACCTGGGTTGCCTAAGCAGTGAGCACCAAACTTTAACCACTAGGCCATCAGGGCAGGCTCAGTGTGACCATTTTTATCTTAAGTATTTAAGGATGGTAGTGTTTGTTTCACTTTTGGGGAGAGGGAGCTTTCAGCTATTGTTTGCATCTGTAATCAGAGATCCATGAGACAGTTATAAAATGAGTAGTTATGAAGTCTGGGTCCTATCAGTCAATTTTAATCTCCCTGCTAGGTGTTCCTGAGTTTTTAACAAGTGGAAAAACAAGCTTACCCCACTCTTTGCTCTTATTTGTATTGTGATTAATGGAACTCAAATAATAAAAGATATGCAGCAAAAAGCAAGTATGCAATCAAACTATAATCCGTAAGTGAATTATCAGTCTCCAAGGAACCTAGAAATGGCTGGAAAAGTATAGAAGGTCAGCAGTCTGAGTCTGGGCAGAAACTGTAATCTGCTTTTCTCCACTTTGTCTGTATTTCTTTCCACTTCTATACAATCTCATGTTTCCATCAGAAGAAGAAGCACATTGGTGCACCCTTGTATGTACAGTGCCTTTTGAGATCTTCTCTACAGATAAACAATAGGAGATGAGAAGAGCAACTACTTATTTAAGCAAGTAGAGCCTGTTTAATTATAGACATTGGGAAAAAGCTAATTGTATTTTTTTCCTGTTATATCATCCTGCAATCCCTCTTGCTTTTTTTTCTCTATAAAAGTCTTGCATGGTGATATGTGAATCAGTCAAAACTTCAATCACTGTTTTACAGTAGCATTCTTATACTAGAAGTGGTTTGATAAAGGAAGTGCCTCACCGTGTCTTCTGTATTATCAGTATTGCTGGTTCTCATTAGTGGAGACGTGACGCCACTCTACAGGACAAAAGAGAACACACTTTAAAAATATCTCTTTGCAAACACTCAAATTCTCCCTTATTCCTACCTCAATATAATTATGTTATTAGAATCACCTTAACTACTCCCCTTTCATATCTTTCTGCCAACGAATAGCATTAAAAATGCATTCAGGGTAGAAATACCTCATCAGAAACAAACAGCAGTCAATTCTTATGGCTGATTCAGGTGGTCCAAAGGGGGGACGAAGGCAGTTCAGGCCAGGAATTCTTGGCTCTTTAGGCTTGTTGGCCTGATTCCTACCAACTGTTAACAATGGAAAATAACAGCCAAGGAGGTGATGGTTAAGGTGATACAATGTCCTTTCTCAAGGAAGGCCCTCCTTCTGGGCCTTGCTAACATCCAGGATAATTTATACTTATCCTAGACAAAGGGTATTTTTAATAGAAAAGGGAATTTAAAAGGAAAACATATGAACCATAGTCATACGAAACTACAACCAGGGACCTAGAGGTTGGCAAGGTTTTGTGACTTTTAGTGTAACAGCTTGAAATGTACATTAAGTCCATCTAACTACAGAACTATAGAAAATTCTTCTTAAAAAAGTGGCCTACCCTGTCATTGTCTTGCTGATGCCTCCCGGCTGCACTTCCAGTATCAGAATCCATCCTCCTCTCTGCCATGGGGAGCTGACCTGGATCAGTTCCATCTGCAGGGCGTCTCTGCCCTCTGTCTTTCAGTTGGATGGAGACCAGAGGGAGAGAAGAGCAAAATCAGGTATTTATTCTTCCAGCTCCTTCCCTGGAAGGTCGCCTTGGTGTGGCTGTGTCCTTCGAGTGAAGGTCATTCATTCTCCTTACAAGGCAGCTGATTTTACGTGACTCTCTCCTTCCAGGTTTTGGGAACTGTTCGCTCTCCTTGTCCCTTCAAGTTTAGGTTTGCTAGTGTATCAGCTGCTCCCAGCCCTGGGGGAGTGCACTATCTTCTGTGCTCCTCTCTGTACGGTTTTGAGTGTGCCAGGTTGTTCTCTGTTAGGACCTGACTTATACACACTTCCAATACGGAAACTAAACTATCATTCTTGAGCAGCGTGTAGCACCTCTCTCTCCTATAATTTGAACCCAATCCAATCAAAAGTATCATTATATTAGATGAGGGGTTGCATTTGGGGGCAAATGAGAGACTGCCATCTTTTCCTACTTCTGGCCGGCTAAGGGACAGGAGTAACAAGTAAGGGAACTAGCTTGCCTATTAGTACAAACAATCACTGGGCTAGAATTGGTGGAACTCTTGTTCACTGTCACCTTTAAAATCTTACTCTCAATAATAGTTTCTGCTATGACCAAATCTCCTAACTTCAGCAGGGGCGACAGGCAGGTGTCGACCAGAGGAAGGGACGTGGGATCTATCTCAACCTCCCAGGACACTCAGAGCCTTCTCAGGGGGATTATGGGATAAGGGAGAGCTTCTTGGGGCCTAGATCTACCTCTGGCCACTAGTTAGCTGGCTCAGTTTAGGTGGTGTCCTTAAGTCTGTCTTACACATCTACTAGCATTTGAGTTAATTTCTTGGATTCTAGTTTCCTGATCTATGAAATGTGGAAATAAAGAGATCTAATTCTATTGATAAAAGTCTTTTAAGTTCTGTGACCATGGCATCTTAATGTAACATTTTAATTAGTGTAGGTAATTAAATTACTATAAGTAACACAGGTTTGTTGGGGAAAATTTAGAAAAAGTTTTCTAAAAAATGTAACAAGGATTAAAATAAAATGGTCCATAAAGTACAATGCTGTTTTGAGCAGTAGCAACCATAGACAAAGCTCAAATAGAGAGAAAACAGAGCCCAGGGACTTAAGGAAACCCAGACATAACGGAAGCACCTGGGCAGGTATGTGGTGGAGAGGGGGCACCCTGTTTCCAAAGGCAACCATTTTTAAAACTTTGGCTTATTGATTTCCAGCTATTTTTCAATATAAGAAGATTGGAATCATCCTGTGTATTACTTCACTGCCAGATTTAATTTTTTTTTCTCTTCTTTAGTAAAAAACAAAGTAACTTAAATGACATGTGATTTTCAATTAATTTGATCAAGTTCCTATTATTTACTGAAATAGTAGGAAAACTGGAAGTAATAGTAGTGTGCTGCAAAGAATGTGCTTGTACATAGCCTAGGGTGATTGACCATTTGACGGAGGATAAATTCCTAAAAGTAGAATAGTTAGCTGGAAATGTGGGAGTATTTTAAAGGATTTCTGATAAATTTTACAAATGACTCTCTAGAAAATTCAGATCAGTTTACATGCCCAGCAGCAGTGTAGGTGTGTAGTTGTATGCCATTTTTTTTTTTCTGGTGAGGAAGATTAGCCCTGAGCTAACATCTGCTGCCAATCCTCCTCTTTTTGCTGAGGAAGATTGGCCCTGAGCTAACATCCGTGCCCATCTTCCTCCATTTTATATGTGGGATGCCTGCTACAGCATGGCTTGATAAGCGGGACATAAGTCCACGCCTGGGATCCGAACCTGCAAACCCCGGGCCACCCAAGTGGAGTGCGCGAACTTAGCTACTATGCTACCGGGCCAGCCCCTGCATGCCATCTTTGATACATCTCTACCTGAAAACCTCGGGACAGAGCACGAGTTTTCTATGAGCTATTACCTTGGCCGGAACAGATGTATGTTGTTGCCAAAAGCACCCAAATCACGGAAATCATGAAAATCACGAAAATCAAGGAACTCATGACAATCACTAAACGAGTTTTCCGGGTAGCTATTTTTTGACTTGCTTCTAAATAAAACAAACAAGAAATCTATAAGCTGGAAGAAAAAGTACCAAAAAATAAAACATGTGGGTGAGAGGGTAAGTATGTTTACTATTTTTAAACTGAGTTATTTCTGCATTCTGGATGGAAAGCAGATTTCATGTTAGTGAAAACACTTTTCATAATGAAAAGACTCATTAAAGATAAGGCCAGGGGCCTTATCTGGACCAGAGAAATTTCTGTGAGCATGAATACCTCCCAGTCTCAATGTCTCTCTTGTGGGAAACCCGCAAAAGCTGTAATATTAACTAATTTGGGGCTTAGTGAGGGTGGGAGTTGGGAGAGAAAAGAGTCTGAAAACTTCAGAGGCAATGAGTCTATTATGCACTTTAAGTTTCTGTTATTTTATATCGTAAAAAGAGAGTTAACACACTTTTACAAAGGAATAATTATGACTACAAACTAGCCTTAGCCCTGTGTTCTGGGAAAATGAAGGGAGGGTGTAGTCCCCCCTTGGCTTGGAGAAGACAAGGTCCAAGAGGCATAGTGATCAGAAGTGTAGAGACAAGAAGAGCTGAGTAGGAGCCATGGTCTTGAGTGAGAGGTGACAGGTGATCATGAGGTGACAGAGAGCACTTGGAGCTCCTCAGGAATAACTGGAGAAGCCTGAACTTTTTCCAACATCTTGATTGGATCTAGAATTGTTGGACTTAGCATTAAAGGAAGTGGGCACTGCGGAAGGCAGAAACTTGGAGACCTGGAGGGACCAAAGTCAGAACCCCCAATCTTGTGATCTATGTTCTATCAAAGAGTGGGGAGCAAGCATTAGAGCACAAAGGCCAATTCAGGGGGAAAAATGTTTATGGCTGTTCTTTAAAGTGAGCAGCTCTGTATAACAGATGTCAATTTTTATGAACATACTCTTAATAATGTTTTGCAACCAATAAAACATTAATCTCTCCACATATTTGTGTCATTTTGGAATTCTATACTCATGTAAAGAAGGAGCAGTTAAGTACAAATGTTAAATTGACTGTCTAAAGTGTTTTCTTATGCATATTTTTCCTCCTGTAGAAAATCTTGCAGGGAATAGCTGCTTCTTACTTTATCCACGACCCTCAGTTCCCCTATCTGTAAAGAGATTTGCCCGAGTTCACCTATTGAGTCAGCAGCAAAATTTAGCAAGAATTATTTAACTCCATTGAATTCAGTGCAACCTTTATTGAGCAGAACTAGACTCCAGGAATCATAAGCCCCCCTATCTGGGCCTCCTTTTCAAATGTTGTAGCATCTCCTGGGCAAGACAGCAAGTGGGAAATTGAAATTCAGAATAGAAAACCAAGTTTCCTTGAAAGAGTGATGTCTAGGGTGCTGAGACTGTTGACCCTGTTCTCTGCCCTGCTGGGGGAGCTCCTTCTACAGGGCAGGGGGGTGGGGTGAGATGGGGAGGTGGGGGATAGTGTGCTTGGACCCTCCTCCAGCCTCAATGGGCCAGGGTTTACTTAGGAATGAGAGGTTCTGAAAAGCTTCTTTTCTTTGTCAGAGATGGAATGGTCCTGATGCTTTGCTTTGTATAAACTGAAAATGAGATCTCTGATTAGGAAGATGCGCCATGTGTGGTTTTCAGCCCGCTTCTTCCTGATTATTTTTCTGCACTCCAAAATGAATCAACATGAGGCAACATTTAAAAAAAATAGAATACAAGCTTAACTGTATTTTACATAAAACTGACACTCCTGTCTTGGAGAAAAACAGGAGCTTCAAATACCTCCCAGTTTTCAGTACTATCAAAGTGGCAGCTTCACAAAGGGAGTGTTGTTATCACACAGCATCTAGAAGTTTCTATGTATTTGAAGACCACTTGACCTAAGGAAAACCTGTGCTCTTATCTCCAAATCTCACTACGTAGAATCACCAAACTTCCAAATATGTTATTCCTCCTAATTTTCACAACTAGAATGATAGAAATATTTCTAAAACATATGTTCCACTGACTCAAATATCTTTATTAAGAAGTAGAACGAGAGCTTCCATGGTCTCCCATGATGCCAAGTTGACAGCTTAAGGGTAAGGGGATCAACCAGCACTCCTAGAAAGTCAGGTTCATGGGCACACATTCCATGGCTCTATGGTTAGTGGACTAGAAATATTTTAAATATTGAGTTTTGGCAGTTAACTATCAATTGAGGCAAAAATGAGCTGAATCAGGCATACACCTATTGTTTCAAATGTCCTTTGGTGACTATTTCCACCAGGTTCACAGACAGTGCCGTGATTCCCCAGCATCCAGCGGGGCCCAAATTCTAACTTCCCACTGTACAGCCTCAACTCCCAAAGGCCCAGGTCCAAAGGCATGTATTAGGCACAGTGGAAAGCAGGACTTGAAGGCGCTCATCCCATCGAGTCACCAAAATGTGTATGTTTCCTCTTCATTTCTGAATCCCTGAATCCCTGAAGAGGAAATCTTGTGGGACTAATATATATATATATATTTTCCAGTACAGGACTTTTGTGTGGTTGAAGGAAGGAGGGTTGTCTACCATCTTGACCAGAAGCATCCCTGTAGATAATATTTTGAGAAATACTAGTGTAAGGTACCCTTTAAATGCCAACCTAATTTTCCTGTTTGATACTCACAATCTCTACTGCTATGGCCAAAACCCATTATCAACCCTACTTGTAACTTACCTATATGAAGTGTTTGGACGGCGAGTAAAGTATATTTGCTTGAAGAAATATTACATAAGTATTCCCCACTGTCTGCAATGCTAAGATCCTTCAAAGTCAAGGAGAAGTCACTCTGGTTTATTAGCTCTTTGTTCCATGAAAATCGAGGTTCATTGACAGTCATATTTTGAGAGGAGCTCAGAAAGTAAGCCAGGATAGAGGAAGTCCCACTTTCCACTCTGGACCAGGTGACTATGAAGTCTTGATTTGGTAGAAAAAAATTGCTTGCAAGTTCACATGAGAGTGACATGTGTTCACTTTGCATTTTATGAAGCCCATCTAACAATAGGATAGAAAAGGAGACATCAATGAAAATAAAATTTTCCAATGAATTTTCTAAGTTACACTTAGAAACGCATGTAGAAATATCTTTGAAAATAACTTTTTTTGTGTGTGTGAGGAAGATCAGCCCTGCGCTAACATCTGCCAATCCTCCTCTTTTTTTGCTGAGGAAGACTGGCCCTGGGCTAACATCTGTGCCCATCTTCCTCCACTTTACATGGGACGCCACCACAGCATGGCTTGCCAAGTGGTGAGTTGGTGCGTGCCCGGGGTTCTGAACCGGCAAACCCCGAGCCACCTCAGCGGAGCACGCGCACTTAACGGCTTGTGCCACCGGGCCGGCCCGGAAAATAACTTTTTGAAAAGCAGCTAGATATTTGTGCCATGGAGTTTCTTAAAAGAAAATCTTTCCTACCATTATTTAAAGTCTCCCACCAAGGTGAAGTTTAGGCCTTCAAGGAGGCCTAAGCCTGGGCCAGCTAGGGAGGTGATACACCGGGGTTTTAACAGTGAGCACTCATGGGCGTTGCCACCAGCTACCAGCCTTTTTAACTCAATGTTCTTCTGTTGACCCCCTCAATTGTTGGTGTTCCCCAGGACTCCCCTCTTGTCATTCTATCTACTCCCTAGTAGTCTCTGTTTCGTGCATGGTCTCAACCACTTCTTAATCCCTCTTTCTGGACAAAGTCTCTTTTCCCGTACGTCAGAAGTATATTTCCAACTGTGGTGTAGGTCATCCCCCACTGGACCAAGCTCTTTTAGAGCAGACACTCTGCTGGGTATTCTCGGCTTGTCCCTCCAGATCCAGCTCCATCTCGTCCCTGTTCTGTAGTTCTGTAGGCTGGCCTTCATGAACTGCCATGGATTGTTCTCCCTGGCTCTAGACTCACCTCCTTTCCAGTCCAGCTGCTAGAAAGTGATGCCATAGCAAGCCACCTGAAATGCGAGTCTAGGATCTCGCTGATGCTTGAACTCCTTCTTTGGCTCCACGCCACCTCCAGGACCCGGGTGAAGCTCCTTAGCAAGATGGAGGCCTTTGGTCTGGTTTTTGCCTCCCTCTCCAGGTTTCTCTCTCAATACATTAGCTTGACTCTCAATCACTTATACTCCCACAAATCCAGGCAATTTTACTCCTCTGTACTTTTTACCTGCAATGCCTATTTCCCCTGAAATTTCCTTCTACTCTTTAAAAATTCTGCCATTATGCAACTTCCTTAGGTATATATTCTGTAATAAGCCCATTTATGCCCAACTACAGTGAACAGAATTAATCATTTTCTTTGTATGCTACCTTCCTGATTTAGTTTTATTTTTACATGTTTGTACTAGATGCTGTGGATCCAGAAATGCGTAAGAGTCCTTGTTCTTAAGTTCACAGTTCTTAAGTTCACAGTCACTTAAGTTCTTAAGTGCACAGTTCTTAAGTGCAACAAAGCTTGGCACATAATAGATCCTCAACAAGAAGAAGTAGTGTTAAGCCTAAGGAACTGTTGGTGCTTCAGGATATTAATTCTGAATAAACATGAGAAACTACAGTTTTCCAAAGAAAATGTTTACAACTTAATATTAACACTTTCAACCCTTTTCCATGTTTCCATTGCTGCCTGGCTGATGAAAAGTGAACACTGGGTGTCCATGCCTTTAACACTGCAATTATGAGAGGGTGGTGAGTCACTCAGAATTTTAGTGTTTTCTTGGTGAACGTTTTGTGAATATAAAACTCAGGGGAAGAGAAGGCCAAAAAGGATAGCTAACCTCCACTCTTCCCGTATAATGCAGATTTACAGAAAAATTTTGCTTTGCTTCTAACGAAATATAAAACAATAATTTTCCTTGGAATTGGATATGTGGTGTCAAATTAATTTTTTTCCCCTTAATCTTTTCTTAAACAGTAGGTTATAAATATAGAGATGGATCAGAGTTTGGGTTTATTTAAATAAATGAGAGGAAGGAGGGTTAAAAACTGCTCATGCTATGATCAACGTGTTGATAAAGACTAATGGGCTAATAGTATGTAAAGAGAAGCAATAATACGAATTAATTTTTGTTTAGTTAGAAGATTGGCAAAGAATCAGAGATTGTGACCTGCTAATAGATAAGCATTCTTTCCTTCTCCTCTGATCTTTTAAAGGGCAATGCAGGTAGAAAATCTCTTTGGAAGATGAACAATAGAGAAAAACAGTGATATTCATGGATGGATTTCCTGCTTTCTGTTTCAAAAATGTTTTCCTTCACTTATAAACACCTAGCAAGGTAGGAATTACTTCTGTTTTATCAATGAGGAACTAATGCTCAGAAGTAAAAATGATTGCTTAAGGTAACACAGCCAGTAAGTATTACACCTGGGACTCCAGCCTCTGTCTTCTAACCGCCGCAGATGCATTTTCTCTCTCTTCTCTTCTTTATTTCCCCGTAAATCAATCCCCATTTCCCCCCCAACCTCCGACATAGCACACGTACACAGAAAGCCCTTCAGGGCCTACCTTTCATTGTCCATCGCCCTGTCCATGTTTGGTTCAGCAATGAATTTTCAATAGCACATTCATAAGATGAATTTGATCCTGTAATATTTACTACACTGTTAATATAAAGAGGACCCAAAGACCCGGTCTCTTCCGTATTGCTTTCAGAGATAGGTGCCTTGTCCATCTGCCATGTGACATTGGGACGAGGAGAACTCAGCACGCTGCAGGTTAAGAAGCTGTCTGTGTTCCTCTTTTCATACTTCATCACAGGTGTGACGAAAACTATGAGGGACAAAGGAGGGCACATGAGGAACTGTCATCATTAGCTTCTTTTTAGGCCATCTATGCAGAACAGTTACTATTTTAATACCCCTGAAATAAAAAGCTAAGCTTTATGAGCAAAACTGGGCAGTTACTGAAAGGAAAAACAAAACAAAAACTCTGTAGAACCTTAAGATATAGTGTAGTTATCTACAAGGGAAAAAAAAAAGAGCATTCATGGATACGTAACAACTAGCAATCTCAATCCTCTGAAAAGAATTCTAGAAAGAAATCTAAAGGCCTCACTGAAGAACCAAAATGTGGGTGTCGAGTCTATAAACTAGAGCTCATGCAGCAGGCTGAACACTTCAGGTACTGGCTGTGAGCCTTTGTGACTCTTTGTTTATACATAATTCTTAAATTTCTGAGTCAAGGTCTGAAGGAGCTAAATGGGACAGAAGGAGAAGGACCAAGTGCTGGATTAAACAACCCATTAGAAAATCAAGCCCTACCCGCCCCCAATAAATAGATAAAGTTAATATGGACAGGAGGAAAGCATATAATATTAAAATTAACTTCATTGAGAAAAGAGGAAAATGTAATTTAAATCAATAATTCGATATGTTTTTAGCCATCATATTGGCAGAAATTTTTAAGATTGATAATATTAAGTGCTGATAAGACTAGGAGAAAATGGATAGTTTTATGCTGCTGGTGGCAGTAATGTAATAAAATCTTCCTTCTGATACTTCTCTTTCAGATCATTTCCCAGTATTAAATATAAGGATCTTCATCACAACATTTTTTGTAACGTAAAATGCTGGAAATACCTGAATATCCACCAATGGGGAGTGGGTGTATCAATTACAGCACGTCTATACTATGCTTTAAAAATAATGAGTTAGATTCATATGAATGGACTTGGAAGGAAGCCCATAGCATTTTAGGAAAAAGACATTTCAGAAAAACATGGAATGATATCATTGCTATGTTTTATAAAACTTTACATGCACATTTACCTCCCACCTTTAACACCACTTTCTTTGTGGTTTTTCCAGATGCTGTTCCCACATAGCAAGTATAAATTCCTTCATCCAGAAGGCTTAATCTTCTGAAAGACAGGGAGGCATTCCCATTGTGAATTTCACTATGGAAGAGGGATGTCCTGTTTGTGTATCTGGGATTTTGCTTTTCCAAATGGTCACTGCCTTTGTAGTATTTGTAAACGTTGTGAGTGTCTTTATGCTTCCAGTGAATTACAACTTCAGACCCATTCTCAAATGAGCAAGGGAGAATTACATCTTCATCAAGTCTTCCAATGACTGTTTGCTCACTCGGAGTACTCATATAACCAAAGAAACCTGAAAAGAATGTCTCTAAAATCAAGAAAAAAGAAGTTAATAAGAGAATTAGTGATGGGTGCTTATCAAGAGATAGCAGGACTATCCTAGGTCAGCAGCCTGATCACTACGTCATCAAGAACCTTTGCTAGTTTGATTACTAGAAACAAGCCATGAAGATCTGTGTTTGAGTTACTACAATTTTAATTGAATGCTTGTTTGATTCATTGTAACTATGACAATTGGCAATAGATTAAAACATAGAAACACTAGTTTGCTACCCATTTGATCAATTGTTTCAGGTCTCGTCTGATCCTGGCCTGCTACAGTGCTGAAAATTATGTATATAAAAGACTCCCTGTTGATTTTTATTCCCCTGAACATATTCACTTTTAACACCTACTATAACAATAACAAATTCCTTTATCCAGCTGGCTGGAGCTAGCAGGCCCTAAAAGAATACAACAAACTTAGCTTGGTTGGGTGAGGAAATACTTGGAGCATGAGGAAGACAATGTTGAGTTCAGGAATCTGTTAGGAGTATCCAGACTCTAGTCTCAAGTGGGAAAGAACATGTGCAGGGGGAGTCCAAAAGGAGAAATGAAGTGATGAAGCAACTCATTTATTTTGGGTTTAGGACCACTCTCAATACGTCCTATGAATCCATCAAAACGTAGCAAAGGAATATTATTCTAGATATAAATATAAGGCCAATCCTCTTGATTTATATATGTGTTTGTGTGTGCATGCATGCAAGTATATATACATATATACATACATGTTTTTTTTACTGTGAACTTCAGAAGTTGATTTTAAAAAGCAAATGGATTCGTCACAATAAAGATTTTTGCAAAGAAAATGTACTTAGCCATTTCATAATCATTGAAGGCAGTATCCAGCTTCTTTGACCAATTCACAAAAAACATTTTAAGTAGCTCTTGTACCCTATTTATGGATTCTACGATATTAGGACATTATCTTACAGACAATGGAGTAAAATCCTCTGGACCTTGGCCAAGGCCACCCAAGATGCCAGAATTGGGTGTTCAAGTGGCCATGTAATAGTCTTTTTCCTATGCTTCCTCCTCTGGGGCTCTTTCCAGGCTGCATGTCTCACTTCTCTCAGAGAGGTTTAATTTATTCCTGTACAGAGAGCTAGAGATATGCGGTCTTACATCTCTGAGAGAGAGACATGGACAGGTGGTAAAGAACAGAGTGGTTTTGTTGACCTTCCTAATTGCTCTACTAAACTGTCTAATATTTCATTGAATAATTCAAAATGCCTATCACAGGACCTAGCAAAGCTGATAATGCCTTCTGTGTTGAGTAAGTAACAAACTTACACTTAAAAAAAAAAAAATCAATCAACCAATCAATCAAACTTTCCTTTCTAGTGATTTTGTATCTGGTAGCAGATAACAGATTAATAAGAGTCTTAATCAGAGTAGACAGGAGAAAATATGATTTTTAATCTTCATGCAGACTTCCAGTCTGTTTCCTGCTTCTCATTAACTGATCTTTCAGAAAATTTCACAAATCTATGGCATTTTGCAGTATGTGCTCATGTTCCTCTCTAATGGCACAAATAACTAATACATGGGCGTATTATAAAGAAACTTACCTTGAAATCCTCTCAGAGATAGTGTAAGAAGGAGGAAGAAAGACAGCACTGCCTGTGTCCTCATGTCTTATGGAGGTCATATTAATTATACTATCAAAGAGAAGCAAAGTGTTCATGTTATGGATTTTAAGTACAAACAGGAATTGGAACAAAAAGAATTAGTCTGACTATAGAGAATTAGTTAAATAAACTATGGTACATCCACAAGAATAATTCTTCTGCAGCCCTTAAAGATGATATTGTAAAAGATGATTCAATGGCATGGAAGGAAGTTCTTAATGCTATAGGAGAAAAATCAGATTACAATGCAACTTTTAAGTAGCATAATCCCTTTTTAAAAGCACACAGATTTCTGCACATAGGAGACTGATGTGACATCACTAAAAATTCACTGGCTTGTTAACTCTGAAGAGCAGGTTTCACATCAAAAGCAGAGCCTGCTCTTTAATAGATCCTGAAAAATGGCTGTTGAATGAATCAAGATTTGGTATGTATTCAATGGTGGTTCTGTGGATAATAGTTTCTGTCTGTTATTTTTGAAGATTTCTACAATGGACATGAACTGCTTTTACAGTAAATATACCAAAAACAAATTCAATTAAATATTAAATGCCAATGACATTAACTATGGTGTTATTTGTAATCACACATAAAAAACAATTTAAACCTGGAAGCATATTCTTAAATATCCAATAATAGTGCAAATCATAAGGCAGCCATTAAAATCATGGTTTACAAAGAGTGTTTAAAAAATTAAAATAGTGAGAAAATATAGATGGCAAAATGTATACACACACATAATATAATTTCCAGTAAGTAAAATAAAACTGATTCTCTCTGGTAATGGGAATATAGATAATTTTTACTCTTAAGAAAATAGCTTGTTTAAAGAATAGCATACAATTAGTTTTAAAAATCTCTAAAAGAAAATTTTAAAGAAATCATTTGGAAGCTCTACTATTATAAGGTTGTATTCTAAATTTGCTGTAGGATATGAAATTTAAGAACGATTAAAACCACTCTAAAAAATAAAATTAGATTCCTTTATCACATCTTATCAAAATAAAACCTGGTAAATTAATAATTTATAGTTTTATTTTTACATTTTAAATACTAGAAAAAAATAATTGAATATACAACCTTGGAAGAGGGCCTTTTTAACATGACTATACATTTTCTATTATAGATATGTCTACATAAAAATTGGAAAAGGAACAAAAACAAATATTAAAATACAAATAAATATGGACAACATTTGCTATATGACAAAGTTATCACTCCAATAGCTTCCGTCTTTCTCAGAGCAATAGCTAACATGTTTGGTAAAGTGAAAATTTGTCAATAGCATTAGTTATGAAAATAAGACTTTTATATTTCTTCCTATAGATGTATTTGAACATATAATATACGAAAGAAGATATATCACAATGATTATCTCTGAATATTAAGATTACAAGTAATTGTTAAACTCATTTTCTATTTTGAACATATATAAATATGTAATAATACTTTTTACTTTTATAGGCAAAAACTAAACCTTAATAAAAAAAACTTCAATTAAAAAACCCTAAGATTTAAGCACAATCTCTTTCCAAGCAAAAATGAATTCAAATTCGCCATGTTTAATGTAACTTTGGGACTGTCCTACTATAGGTTCACCTTCCCACTCTCCATAATGATTCCAATATTTGCTACCTTTTCTTGAAACTTCCAATATCCCCTTTTCCCATATCCTTTTCAGCTAATGCTCTTGCTTCATTAATTAGTTGTAATCAATTATGGATACTACCTTATTTCCCTACCACCAATTCAACCAACCCATTAACAGCTGTGTCCACTCTTTCGGCCCCCCATCTGCTCTTATCCAAAGCCAAACCCTTCACTTTTACTCTTCATCCCACATTTTGGGGGTTCAAGAAATTTGTCTCTGCAATTATATCCCCTCTCTACTGTACCATCAGGTTCTCTCTACTAGATCAATCCCATGAGCATAAGTGCTCCAACATCTCCCATCTTAAGACCATGAGAAAAACAATATTCTCTTCTGACACTTAATTATCTATCTACCTAGTTCTCAGTTCCACTAACTTCTTGGAATAACTGTCAAAATAGCCATACCCGTTTCCCCTTTACAATCTCTCCTCAATCCACTCTGGGCTCCTGTGTGCATGACATGTCATGTTGCCCTTGGCAGTGTCACCAGGAACTTCCATGTTGCCAAAAACAGTGGATACCATTTGTCCTCATCTTATTCACTCTCACAGCAGCATTCAGCATAATTGGCTGTTACCTTTCTCCTGTAGAGGATTCTTTCTTGCTTTCTGAACCTCCACATTCTCCTATTTTCCTTCTTCACTGCTGATCCTCCTTAGTCCTTTACTGGGCCTCCTCCTCTGCTTGCCCTATTTATGTGGAAATATGGAATGTTCTTAGGCCTTATACTTTCTCTATTCTCTCCCTGTAGATGAGTTCCTCTATTCCAGGGCTCTAAATGCCATCTGTACACCAAGGATTCTCAAACTTACCTACTGAGTCAAGGTAGTATATTCAACAGCACATTTGACCTGTCCATTAGATGCCTTATAGGCATCACAGAATTAACATGAACCCTTGGTTTCCACCTCATTCCCTTTACCACTGCTCTCTGCCCCACCCCAAACAAGACAAGACAACAAAAATGACCCTATTCCTCCTCTAGTCTTCATCTTCATTTGGTTCAATAATTGATACCAAATCCTCCTAGTTGTTTAAGGCAAGAATCTTACAAATCAACCTTGATCCTTCCTTTCCCTCATGTTCCATATCTAATCCATTAACCAGGCTTTTTCGTTCATGAATTAGATAAAATCCATTATTTGTGCATTGCTCTTCAACTCCACCGTTCACATCCTACTCCAAAGCCACTGCCATGTCTTACTTGGATGTCTAAAACCCATATGTGGCTGGTTACCCTTTGCCACCTTACTATCTTGCCTCCTTACAATCCACTGTCAATACAGCAGTCAAGAGTCATATTTTTAAAATATAAATCATTCTATGACATCCTCCTAATTAAATCCCTCCAGTGGCTTCCCACCACACTCAGATCCAAAATTTTAACCCTCACTAACCAAGCCTTGTGTGCCGTGGCTCCCAGTCCTGCCTGCCCCTCCACCCTCTCCCATAATAACCCATAACATACATTCCAAAAGGCTTGTGAACACAAGTGCTCCAATTCAAGGGTCAGCATGAGCATGAGCCGAAAATTAGGCCCTTGAGACTATTCAATTTATGTCTTTTGAATAAAATGACAAATTACAGTAGCCCATTTATCATCTAAGATAAAGTGCTATGAATAAAAAAACATACTCAACCTCTTCTACACAAAGGCTTGATTTAGCACTGTT